GCTAAACTAGCCAGGGCTGCAAATTCCTTCATAACCTGAGAATTTTCAAGAGCTCGTCACTTGCTCACACGAGGTGAAACCAGCCTTCCCCGGACGTGCTGCTCACAAGCTCCAAACTAGTACTGACTTATCAAGATGACTCTCTGGGTTCCCCTAATGGGCTGGATGATTTGCATATTTTCCAGACCGCTTGAAGAGCTGGAAGGCAGGCCAGTGACAGGCGTCTGTCCTTTTCCTAAAGGCACAAGCAGTCCATTCCTCTCCCCTGTACTGACAGGCACGGTCTCTGCTGGCTTGGAAAGTTTAACTTGTCCTGGATGACTAAGTCCCCAGCCTTTTCATTCAAACTCCAACGTTTTTGTTTGCTTCTGGTTAGTGTATCTTTAAACGTTCAACTGTTCCCCAGCGACGCCCAGCTCAGATGGGCTCAGGACACTGCCAAAATGCCAGCCCATGGGGTCAAGGGCAAAACGTTGGTTGTTGGACCTACTGACGAGTGCAAGGGGACTGCCACTGCCCAGGGCACACGTGGGCAGACACAGACACGAGGGAGCCCCGAGCAATGACGCCCTCCGATGAACAGATGTGTGCTGCTTTGTGGTGGCTTTCATGTTTTTCACAAATAAATTATTTGTCATACTCTTGAATGGGGTGAATCTGCAAACTAGATGACCTGCCCCACCTGTTAGAGAGCTGACATCACAGTAAACACTTCATTTCTCCGAGCCTCAGTTTCCCCTATGTGACGCGTGATGTGGATGCTCTTAAACCTGGGGTACCGTGGACGGCTCAAGGCCCTGGGGTGCTAGACCACACCCCCTGTTCTGGCTCCATGTACGTGGGGTCAGGCATTCTGAAATGGGACACCGGCATCGAGACGCTGAAGATTCTTTCCTTCTGCAAGGGTTCCTTCCTTCTGCCACAACGATGACATCACAATTACGTGCCTGCGGGATCCCCACAACTGGCAGATCGCACCTGTCGTGACCAGGTTAAGAAAAACAAGGACACTACAGAGTGTGGTGGCGGAATGAAGCGGATTCAGGGACAGCAGCCTGGGAAAGGACGGGGGCCCAGACGGAGGAGGTGCCGCGGGAACCAAGGTAAGCTGAGGAAATGAGCAGACCCTCTGGCCAGGGAGGGGGTGTGGCGGAGAGCAGGGCAGCAGAGCCGATGGTACAGGGGACACAGGAGCTGATACCCACCACACACCAATACACGGCAGGGACTCTTCTGCTGCCTTATATAACCTAACTCACTTCCTCCTCAAAATGACCCTGTGAGGTAGGTCATTACTGTCCCATTTTAGAGACAAGCAAACTGAGGCCCAGCAAAGTTCAGCATATGAGCCCAGGGTCTCAGAGCCAGTAAGACCTGGACAGCCTGGTCCCAGACTGTGCTGTGGAGAACTCATCTATGCATGCCCAGAAAGTGAGATCCAGGAGTCCAAATACATGAACAAATATTCAGGAGGGGGGGGGGCTACCATAGGCTAGGCATTGCTCCTAACATAGCAGGTGCCCAAAAGTGTGCTGCTTTGGAGGCTCAATTACATGTAGTGCAGCTCTTCGTACTGGGTGGGACAGTGCCTCCCTCCCCAAATGTCACAGCTCTCCAGAACCTGTGATCTTATTTGGAAAGAGGGTCTTTGCCGATGTCATCAAGTTGAGATGATGTCATCCTGGATTAGGATGGGTCTCCAATCCAGTGACTGGTGTCCTCATGAGAGTGTTTAGACACATGCAGGGAGAGCGGAGGGAGACGGCACACTCTGTCCACACCCCAGGAAGGCCAAGGGTGGCCTGGCCCGGCAGGAACTAGCACAGGCAGGGGATCGATCCCCTCGGAGCTTCCAGAAGGAAATCAACCCTGCAGACACCTTCTTTTCTTTTTTTTGCAATTTTATAACTTTTTTGACAATCAAGTTAGTTCTCATCCACATCAACTATAGATTTTTGAAAGTGGTAACAGGTACACAGGTGACCCATGTACAGAGCTTGTTTGGCGAATCCTCATCCTCATTACGTTTTCCGGACACCCGCACCCGGATACGGTGCGGCACCTTCCTGGTTCCTTTGGCCCAGGCAGCTCTGTTCCGCCCGGTGCCCACGTGCAAATCCGGGGCTCCCATCCCCTTCACGGCACGTTTCCGGGTCCCCTTCGTGCTCAGGGGCTTGCTCCTCGGAACCCACTCCGTGGCTGCCCTTGTGAACGTTGAGGAGCGCGCTCAGGTCGCGCCCCGCTGATGGCAGAACGGCCCTTCTCCCCACCCCTCTTTGCGGGCGCCGGGTTGGAAAGAGAGAGCCAGGCGCCTTGATTTGGGGCTTCGAGGCTTTGGAACTGCGCGAGGATGCGGCGGCGGCGGCTCTTGAAGCCACCCGGCTTGCTGGGAAACGAAGCTGCTCGGTTTTGAAAAGAATAGGAAAGAGAGGTTCTCAAGTCACCCCGTTTGGCAATAAGAGTCCCTGTCGGAAAGTCATGGCTCCCCACTGGCAGGGGTCAGCGGCGGGAGAAGCCAGGGATAAATTAATCCAAGGCCTCACAGGAAGCCCGCCTTCCTGTCAACAAGGCCCCGAGTGAAAAGCCCAGGACCTCGGGCCAGAGGGCCGGCTGCCTGGCCCGTTGCAAGGCTCAGATGGAGAAAATATTTCCACTCGCGGGAGAAAAGGTCGGAGAGCCCACCAAGCCGCGCCTGCGTCTGGTCCCCGAGGCCCCTCTGCTCAGGACAGGGTGCAGGCGGGGCGGCGCCCAGATGGCCGGCCCCGAACACCGCCCGCTCCTGCCCCGCTGACCCACTCCACACCGAAAGCAGAAGTTCCTGCGCTTTCGGCAGCCCGTGTTCCTTGGAAGGTCTGGTCGACCGCACGGATGAACTTTCCCTGGAAAGACTCCTACGTGGACAAGATGGACCAGGCGTCTGTCTTCCTGACGCCCCGAGCTGGAAACGAGGTGCGGGAAATCCCCGGGGCTGCCCCGACAGAAATGTCTTCTCGCCCAGGTCAGGGGGTGAGGGTCCGACAGCCAGATGTCCACAAGGTCGGTTCCTTCTGGAAGCCCAGAGGGAGCCTTGGCTGCGCGCCCCTCCCCCAGCTAGGCCTTGGTGTTCTTGGCTGGCGAACGCATCGCTCAATCCCTGTCTGCTCGTTCACACCATCTCCTCCTCTGGGGGTCTCTCCTTCCCTTTAATTTTTTTTCCCTTTATTGATTTGAGAGAGAGAGGAAGTGAGAGGGAGAGAGAGATGGAAACATCGATGAGAAAAAACATCGATTGGCCGCCTCCTGCATGCCCCTCAGTGGGGACCGGGCCCACAACCTGGGCATGTACCCTGACCAGGAATGGAACCGGTGACCTCTTGGTGCGTGGGATGATGCTCAACCACTGAGCCACACTGGCTGGACACTCCTTTTCTTTTCTTTTCTTTTTTTTTATCCTCACCAGAGGACATTTTTCCATTTTTTTTGGTTCAGGTAGAGTGGGAGGGAGAGAGAGGAACAGAGAGAGAGAGAGAAACATCGATGTGAAAGGAACACATCAAGTGGCTGCCACCCGCACAACCAACCAGGGCCGGGTACAAACTGCAACCGAGGTACGTGCCCTTAGCGGAAACCGAACCCGGGTCTCTCAGGACCACAGGCCAACGCTCTAACCGCTGAGCCAAACCGGCCAGGGCTGGACACTCTTTTTCTTATAAGGACACTAGTCATTGGATTTAGGACTCACCCTAAATCCTCTACGATGCCATCAAAATCCTTAACTCATGCCGTTTGCACAGACCCTGTTATCAAATAAGGCCATGTTCTGAGGTTCGGGGTGGACATGAATTTGGGGAGGATGCTATTCAAGCCAGTATAGGTGTCCAGATGATGGAACGATCACCATGGAGAGCTGCCTGGACCCCCAGAGCACACCGGAGACACCCTTGCAGGCTCTCCTGAGGGCCGCATGTGCACTGGGACCAAACGCTGAGCGGAAACTGATCGGACAGAGGGGCCACGCAGGTCGGGGTGGAGCCCGGGCGGGCCTTGCGCACTGCCACTGAGAGCTTGGGCTTATCCTCAGGGACACAACATGTCTCTGAACGACCGGAAGCAGAGGAGTGTTCCTAGAAAGGTCACCTTGGCTGAGATGAGGAAGATGGACGGGGACGGTGAGACCCCACGCAGGGACCCCAGGGGTCACAGGTCAGGGAAAAGCTCCGGCTCCAGGGTGCAAGTGGCCGATGGTCCACGGAGACGCCGTGGCGCTGTCCCACACGGCGCGCTGGGGTGACACCGAGCAGGATGCAGGAGTCGACCCAGGCCAGACAGGATCTGAGCCGGCCAGTGGGGTCAAGGTCAGGCCGAGAAGAAAGCCCAAAGGGTCCAAAGCTGATACTTGTATTCCCTCTCTGTGGGGAGGAGGCCCAGGTGTTTGAACAAGAAAATGTACGAACACTTCGATCCGTTCAGATGCACACCCCTCGCCCTCGCAGACCCTTTGGGGTAAGTGTGCCTGGTAACTAGTTACCTCACAAGTCAGCCCTCTTGCCCTCTGTGCCTCCCTGAGCCTCAGTTTCTCAAAGGTCACCTTCCCCCTTGAACCCCCAGACTGGGTTCCAAACGCTCTCCAGGGACTCCAAAAATCCCTGACGGAGAGTCACAAACTAGAGCCTAACCTTACTGTCCGCCGAGCCTGTCTGCACTCCCGAACAATACATACCACGAGGGCAAGGATTTTTATCTTGTTTGGCTGGCATTCAGATTTCCTCACACACAGACTCTGAATGTCATCAGATGGAAGGACGGATGGAAGGATGGAAGGATGGAAGGATGGAAGGATGGATGGATGGATGGATGGATGGAGGATTAATGGATTTCTGGCTTCATACCAAATTAATCAACCACATAATTAAATCAACATGGACCCATTCGTTGCTCTTTAAATGCTTTATGCTGCCTCCTCCCCCCAAACAGGCAAGTAACACACCCAAAACGAAGCTGCTGTAGCACCCTCCACTCACCTCATTCCTTGGGCGGCCATCTGGTCAAGGTTGGCCGTGTCCTTCGTCTCTGCCCAGTTTGCTCCCAGGTCACCCCACCCCATGTCATCTGCCAAGATGATCACGAAGTTCGGTTTCCGGCCTCTCGTTTCCCCGCTAAAGCAGAAATCCACCAGAGGATAAAGACACCCCAGGAAACTCACCCCCACCAGTAACACCTTCAGAACAAGGCAGGCCATGGCGCTAAGGGGAGGACTCCGGTTATAGGGATGACGGCGGGCCACCGCCAGAGACTTTTCCGAGAGTCCCCTGCTCACTCAGTACAGAGTCTCCGGAGATCAGTATTTTGCAAGAAGACCGTGCAACAAGCCCACTGTGAAGATGAGACTACTGAGGCCCACTGGTCTGCTGGTGGCGGTGGGAGCTGCAGAAACGAGGCCCCATCTAGAATCCTACTTCAAGAGCCTCAGGAAGCTTGCACCCCCTCATCTGGCTTTCCCCACTACAGCTCCCCAAGATGACTGGCTGTGGCAGCGATCAGACATCAGCGTCCACCAGTGCCCTCTGGCCGATTACAAAGTGACCCGTCTGCGCCTGGGGACGCGAGAGCCGAAGCGCAGGCCTTGCATCTGGTCGGGACTCCAGCTGCTGCGTGCAGGAGCAGACCTCACATCTGCAGAACACCTGGCGCTCCAGAAGCCGCAGTCAGTCCCCAGGGAGGTTCTGAGCTCCAGGTGGCTGAGGGCTTCATGTTTCTGTAAGGTTTCCTGAAAGAACAAAACTTGACATGAAAACTGCCAGCACAGCTGTGTTTCGCTCGGTAGCTTAGGAAATAATCGCTTTTCCACACCGACACATGTTTTCCTTATTATTCTAATATTTAACTGCTTCATCAGTTTCTCCACCTGCGAAATAGTGATGCTAATAATATTGGCAACGAGCCGATAATCACGGGGCTAAGAGTAGCATCAGAGGGACCTCTCCCTTCCACTCACTGCAGACACGAGCACGCTGACCCAGGGCTGGGGGGGGGGCAGTTCCCAGCGCTTCCCACTGCCACCGCCGTGCTTCCTGGATTTGCAAGAGGTTCCCACACTGGCTGTGATGCTACCAAACCCACTGAGGATTCTAGAAGAAAGGGTGAGCCCCTCATTACTAAGATACAAGCCTTTCTCACAGTCATGCTGCAAACAGATAATTCTATACAAAATTCTTGACAGAAATGAATTGGGGGAAAAGGAAATGTAAAGAAATAAGTTCACGGTAGAATCTAAGAAGAGAGTCTCTGGGAGCTCATTGTAGACTCTTACTTCTGCTGTATCTTTGGAATGTTTCATAATAGAATGGTGGAAAACACTTTTTATTTCTTTTGTTGTTGTTGTTTTTATCTTCAACCGAGGACATTTTTGCATTTATCTTCAGATAGAGCAGGAGGAAGAGAGGAAGGAAGAGAGAGAGAGAGAAACATTGATGTGAGAGAGACACATCAACTGGTTGCCACCCACATGACCTAAACGGGGCTGGGGACGAACCACAACCGAGGTACGTGCCCTTGGCAGGAACCGAACCCAGGACTCTCTGGTCCATGGGCCGATGCTCTAACCACTGAGCCAAACTGGCCAGGGCCATTTTTTATTTCTTAATGGAACTGCATCCCTTGACATCCTGACAATGTCATTTTTGACAAGAAAATCTACAGACATGCTCAACCACTGCTCTCACACTTTGATGTACATACGACTCATCTGGGAATTTTATCAAAATGCCAGTTCAGTAGGTAGGGCTGGGACCTAGGTTCTGTTCCTCTAACAAGCTCCCAAAAAAAGTCCTACACTGCTGGCCTTTGACTCACACATCATTAGCAAGATATTCAGAAAAGAACAACATCCTGATTCTAGGCCTAAAAGAAAATGAACCTAACTGGAGATGACTAACCTACCTGATGCTTAACTGAACCGGGGGCGACTCCGCTCCAGTGGACAGACACAGGAGCAATAAATTATGTTCGGTTTTGAAAGACAGGAGTTGAAAGTTATGCTTTCCACACCGGTTGCAAAAGGGAACCATGAAAATACACCCCCACCCCCACCCCCGCCAAGTTCACTTAAAAGACCTACATTTACAAAGTTAGTAAGGAGTGAAAGACTTGAATCTCTGCAGCTCGGCTGAACACCCCACCTGTGGAGGAGATTAAAGGAGAACTAAATCGTCATACATAAAGGTGTTGCTGGGGCTGGGTTATGGCTGCTCTACCTGTGATCCCTGCCTTGGGAAGGACCCAGCTCGCAAAACCAACCCAGTGGCCAACTCGAGTGATGGGGCTAGCTGGAGGTATGTAAATTCGGGAAGACTTAGATAAACTCAGAAAGATGAGCAGATACACACTGAAGCATAAAAAGAAAGTCCAAGCACAAGGTCACGGTCATCGGGAGGCCAATGAATAAACTGTTCAGAAATGCGAATGTTTCTGTTTTCCAAAAGGAGAGTTATGATTTCAAAGTCAATTAGATTCAACTGGTATTTGTTGATCTTGAGGCCCCAAAGACGTCTCCCTTTCTAGAAGAAAGAGCCCTTGCACAGAGAGGGCGCCCAGCAAACACTGGGCCTGCCGCTGACGCCCAGCCTCATTCCGCTGGCTTCTGACCACGAGCAACAATCACAGGAGGGCTGTCCTCCTCCAAGCTCCTTAGCGAGGGTCACTGCAGCGGCCCCATTCCTGGCCGATAACCCATTTCAGGAGGACCCAACACAGAAAGACTTCCAAAACAATTTATTTAAGAAAGAAGCTAAAATTAAGGTGGGAATGTACATTGTTTTGTTAAAGAGTTCCATGATAAAACATTCCAAAGAGAATCATTAAATACTTAACACTTCCGTGGAACAGAAATAAGTTACTTCAGGCAGGGCACCACTGCCTTGTCCTCTGTGCCCACACTTCTGGGGGGACATTTACTCCTTTCCCCCTTTATTATTTTAAACGACCATGAAAAGGCAAACCAATGTGCTAAGAAAGGACTCCAAGCCACAGACTTTAAGATCCAAGCTGGGGGGAAAAAAAGATCCAAGCTGAAATTTGGGAAACAGTATGGAGGTCCCTCAAAATATTAAAAATAGAACAACCCTATGAATCCAGCAATCCCACTTCTGGGTATTTATCCAAAGGAAATAAAATCAGTATCTTGAAGGAGATATCTGGATCCCGTGTTTATTGCAGTGTTTTTCACAACAGCCAAAACAGGAAAACAACCTAAGTGTCCGTCGATGGGTGGATGAATGAATGAAATGTGCTGTGTATATAATATATAAACAAAGGAATAGTATTCAGCCTTTAAAAAGAAGGAAGGCCTGTCATTTACAACCGCCTGGGTGGACTTAGAAAACATTGTGCTAAGTGAAATAAGCCAGGCACAGAAAGACAAACACTGTACCACGGCACAGTGGAATCTGAAGAAGGTGAACTGGCAGCCGCAGAGGGAAAGAAGATGCTTGCCAGGGGCCGGAGCGGGTGGGGAGTGTTGGTCAAAGGTCACGAGCGTTCAGTTAAGCAGGATGAATAACTACCAGAGAGCCAATGAATGTGCAGCCTGGTGACTCCAGTGAAGAGAGCAGATCTTAAATGTGTTCACCACAAAACAATATAAATGGTGATACTCAGCGGGATGGGCGTGTTAATTAGCTTCACTGTGGACATCATTTCAAAATCAAATGACATACATTATACCTCAGTAAAGCCGGGGCGGGGTACATTTAAAAGATCCAAACTGAGTCCTGGCTGGTTTGGCTCAGCGGTCAGAGCGCCAGCCCGCAGACCAGAAAGTCCTGGGTTCGGTTCCTGTTAAGGCACATACCTCAGTTGCCATTTGTCCCCAGCCCCACTTGGGGTCGTGTGGGTGGCAGCCAGTCAATGTGCCTCTCTTACATCAATGTTTCTCTCTCTCCCCCCCTCTCTCCCTCCCACTCTATCTGAACATACATGCAAAAATGTCCTGGGGTGAGGATAAAAATAAATAAATAAATATATAAAAGATCCAAGCTGAGACTGAGCTCAGGGCCTTTTATGGGGTTCCTTGATCCATGAACCTCTCCTTCTCAGAAGGGAAAGTGGATGCAAACAAGGTGCACTCCTGTGGGCTAAGGGAGAAAGGGGGAGTCTCTGGCAAAGAGAGCATTCACCCCTCCTTGCACTGGGCTGGAAGGAGCGTGACCAGCTGACTCAGCAAACTGCACAGGGCAGGCCCCTTCCGGGGGAGCCGGGTGCAGGGACAGCGCCTTGCTGAGCGCCAGAGGGAGCCGCTGCCCGGTCTCCCTGCCCGCACACAGCATCAGAGTGCACGTGCGTTTTCGCTCTGTCGGCAAGGACTCCTGTGCTTTTCCACGACCCCCACTTTAAAGCAGGAACGCTGGGGCTGCTCAAGTTTGGCCTCCCTTCGGGTTCTGGGCTTGTTTATAGATCAAGTCGCACAGACGTGGCGTGACCCACGGGCGGGCTGTTGTCTAGAAGGGCCGGGAAGCCAGCGGGGTGAGGCAACCTGGTGGTGCGCTCGGCAGTGTCCATCACCTGACTCGGGCTCCCTGGGGGCCGCCCTGGGGCCAGGCAGCCTGCTGGAGAGCCTTGAAAACAGCTGAAATAACCAGAAGGTCCGGCGGACCTTTCTGGCAGAGGGCTCTCTGTTGGTTTTCCAGAGACAAAGCTTCTAATGAGCTGAGGCCAAAAAAGACACAGGCCTGGGGGAGTGTGGTCCCTGGGTGCGGTCACTGTTGTTTGACCGGCAGATCAGAGCCCGCTCGCGGCACCTGCTGGGCCAGGGGTCACTGGGGCTGCAGGGAGGGGCCGGGGCACCAGCTGCCCCAGTGCAGTCTGAAATGACCCCCATGCACTGTCTTCCACCCAGCCAGTGACCGAGGGACAGGTGTCGCCCCGCACTGCGCACACAGCAGTGAATGACCCGCTGCCCTCGGGGCACTTTCTGGCTGGGTGGGGGTGGGGTGGCAGGGTAAACAGATGTGGCAGGAGCAAATCAAAGCAGGAAGAGGATCAGGAGCGTGGGGCGAGCAGGTGCAACCTGAAACAGGGAGGGCAGGGACACCAGAGAAGGTGATCTTTCTGGAAGGATCTGTAGAAGGCAAGGGAGGAAGCTGGGAGGTGGCCACACAAAGGGTGGACACTGGCAAGTGTCAGAGGGAGTCCGGGGGAAGGCAGGCTGGCTGCGCAAGGGGGAGGCTGGCAGGTTTGGGCCGGGCAGCGAGTTCTGACTACATCCTAACAGACCCTGGCGGCCCTGCCGAGAAGGACCACGTGTGTTGCAACAGGCCAGACGAGAGAAGCCACGAGACCACAGCCTCAAGGAAGTGACACTGTGCTAGACGCAAGCCAACTGCCCGGGCACAGCTAAGGGCGTGGCACTCCCTGCCCTGCATGCCCCTCCCGGTGAGCTCCTGCTGCATGCCCTCACCCTGATCCAAGCCCAAGGGGAAAATCTTCCCCTCGCAGCCAGACGAGCGGCTGAGTGGTGGAGGTCTAAGTGTAACCAGCATCCTCGTGGCCCCTAACTTTGCCCCTGGACTCTCACATGTGACTTGGGGGCTGGCCCAGCTCAGAAAGATGGCTTTCTTAGGGCACATCTCGGGGGACCCCTGTCTTAGCTCAACCAGAAAAATGCAAAGAAAATATCTTTCTCCTGTTCTATTTTTTAATTTCAGTTTTATTGACATAATGGCTACACAACACGGTGTAAATAAGGGTTGAAGCATAATGACTTGCCTTACA